AAAAAAAAAAAAAAAAAAAAAAAAAAAAAAAAAAGATGTTCGTTTATTGAGGAAAACAAATGAACGGCAGAGAGCTTAGGTGTGGCAGGAAAAAATGGTTATAAAAAATTTTTCCATAATATTTTTTGAACCGTGCCGTTCATTAAATAGCATTAAAAAAAAGCTATTTTTTTTTTTTTTGAGTTACAATTGATTAAGTTTTTTTTATCTTCATCTTTCTCCTGTAAAAAAGATCAATCAATTCATTTAAACTTTGTGCCAGTGAGTGGTTTATTTCCTGATCCATGACAACTAATTAGTACCGGTCTTTAGATCTGCTGAATGACCCATAACAACATTGTCCTTCAAACTGTTTCAATAATTCATTAGTTAAGCTACAGCTCTAATGCTCTTCGTTTAACGAAAGCTGAAATATCAAATTTTATTCAAATTTATTCTTCTAAGTTAAAATATGCATTGATCTGAGGGCTAGATGTTTTGGATAACCAAAGCCGACACTGAGTGAAAGAAAAGTAACTGGAAGTTTTACAAAGACTAACCAACTGAGCTACTGTCCAAAACACATTCAAAAAACGATTTTAAACAAAGCCAAGAACAAAGATTATCAATCAGTACACACCAACAACGAGTGATCTAAATTTTAGGCTCTAAAATAGTATTATTGGTAACAGCACTGACAGTAACGGCAGTAATAAAAACAGGAAAAAAGAAAAAATGAAAAAAGAAACAAGATGCAACACTTTTCAGTATTGCTAATATAATTTTTAAATTTGCTGTTTTTTCTTCTTTCTTTTTAGTTTAATTAGCTAGTTTCATAATTATTCAGAGTTGACAGAATGATAGTCTGAATAGCAACAATAATTTTGCGGTGTCCATTTGATCAATTTAGGTGTTTAGCGCTTGTAAAACTAACTATAGAATAGCAAAAAATGTACGTCTACTGGTTGCCATAACATTATTTATTCACAATGTTTCAACCGAAATTTTTTTTTTCTTCCATCATTTCTGATCGTTTCCGTTTAGTTAGCACCAAAATCTAAAATAACGCTGTCAACAACAACAACATCAAAGGTAACCACTACCGAATACTTGGAACAACTGCACAATAATAACAACAACAGCAACAGCAGTAGCAGCAGCAGCAGCAACAATAACAGCAAATTATTGAAGGTGATATTGGGATAATAAATCGAACATTTTTTGAAGACTTTATTATGGGAAATTGCTGCTACTACTGCTGCATTTGCTGCTTCCCTTCTGCTTTTTCAATTCATTTTTTTTCCATTCTAAAATCGTCATTGTTTTTTTCTTTTTTGCTTTCTTTCTAATACATTGCTGCAATTTGGAAAATTCAGCTAACTATAAATTGATTAATTTCCCGTCGTTGCTCTTTTGTCTTAATTGTTCGACGTATGCAGAAAACGATAATGAAAAAGAGGTGGGGTTGGGAAAATGAGAAGTAGAACAGGAGTAGAAGGAAGAAAAAAGAAGGAGAGTAGATGCCGTTTACTGATGATAAAAGTAATAAGACGCAGTTAGAAAATGGAAATTAAAATCAATATGCAGCGTGTTTCTACGTTTTTCAGAGGCGATATAGATGAAGAAGACGATGGTGATGGTGATGGTGGTGGTGATGGTGATGTTGATGTTGGTGATGGCGGTAAGGGCGAAATCAATGTCTCCTCCAAAACTGCAGTTTCCACTCGGCCAATTCCACTTGGTGGCCGTTGTATATTTTGGCTCTTATCAACTGGTTTTTTCATCCACCCCACTATTCCCTTCCTTTTTCCTCCTCGTCCCCACCTATTCCTTCCCTTCTTCACTGTTGGTTTCATATTATGGTTTTGTTTATTGCTGTTTTTGCTTGTTGTCTGCTGTTCTGCAATATCGGTTGGGTGCTGTTGCGGTTTGCTATCACCCGGTTCTGCTGAAAACAAAAAATTAGGAGTTAAAAAAAAAAAAAACGAAACGAAAGAAAATTTGAGTGGAAAGAATCTCAATAAACATCATTTTTCAGAAAAAGAAAAACTTCTTTTGCGCCAAAATGTGAAAACAGTACAGAACAATTTGATGCCCTTTATTTCTTTCTTTTTTTTTTTTGTTTTTTATTATTTTTATTATTATTGTTATTATTTTTTGAGTATTATAATCTTTTTTCTTCTAGTGTACTATCAGTATACAATTGTGGAGATACAGTTCTTACACTTTGTTTGGCTGAACCATATTCTCTAGACTGCACCAAACCCTAGTCCCTACTTTAATTGTTTAATTTGTGATGACAGTGATGACAATGACGATGACGGTGACGATAGCGATGCAGTTGACACACACACACACACACACAGAGACAGTAACATTAGAAACACACTATAGATTAAGGGCACTGTCAACGATAGCCGATAATAGTAACAGTTGATTTTTCACTATTTTTGTGGAAAAGAAACTTCTACTCTTTCATTTTATTTTATTTTTATTTTATTTTTGCTCTTTCAAATTACAATTCAGTTTTATATCGACTTCCTTCACCTAAGAACTTTTTTTTTTCGCTTCTTTGCTTTCAATCTCGTTTTTGACTCATCAGAACAACAATGTTTTTTGGATTTTAATACCGCTTTTTGCACTTCAGCAATCACGTTATATGGAAGTTTTTCCCATTCTTTTTCCTCTTTCTATGATTCTTATATTTATTATTACTGTTATCAATGATATTGCTACTATTATTACTGTTATTATTATTACTGTTATTATAGTTACAATTATTTTTCTACTTTAAC